CAGGTGGATATTATAGTGTGGCGGGAGGTCTTTGAAAAAAGTGGCAGGTGCAATAGGTCCCAAACCATAAGGCACACAGGGAGAAGGAGATGCAAGGAGAACTGGAGGGGGAGTCAAGCTGAGAGTCTTTTAAAATGCGTATCTTCAGTTTCTTTCACACATATTTTCACAGAAGTAGAACTTGTGATTTCTAATCCTTGCATGCTCTGGTGTTTCTTAAACTATAAATGAAACAAAAAAAAATAGTTTAGATTTTATTTTAGTTGTCAAAACTGAGCAAATTTAGTCCTAAATTCACCAAAACATTGTGTCTAAAAGAAAAAGACAGGCTTTGACAACTGTATTTTTGCAAATTTGTGGTAAAAGCGAGAAGTGACAAACATTGTTCACTAAAGAGTCAGACAGAAAAATTACTCTTCTTACTTCTTCCTACCCACTCTTTCTGGACTGTAATTTTGGAAGATTTGGGGTGAGAAACCCCAATTCGATTCTCTTGCAGTTAAGGGGATTTGAACCCATTATCTTACAACAGAGATCACCAAGCAGTATTGGATATGTTACTCCAGAGTGGATTTCTCTCAAGTACTCTAATGTTGTTTAACATTGCACAGAATACTAAACTCTTTCTGAAGAAAGGTTAGGAACTTTGCTGTCTTGCCTATTTTTCTGACATTACTTATCCTGGTGAATATTTCATGTAAAGTGGACCTACTGCAATAGGAGTGATTAAGACCAGCACTCTAGTATACCTTAAAGTCGTTTAGGCACTCCCTGGGAGGTGGGACATGAGCCTAACTGATTCTAGGAAGTGGAGGGCTCCTGTATCCTTCCAAATAAGCTTAACTCTAGATATCCTGTATTTTTCAAATACTTTAAAGCTGCACTGTTGGTGTGAGTGATATAAGGAAGAGGTGCTGAATATTTGTTTCCTGGTATCTGCATCCTCTTTTCTTGCAAGTACAAGTGCCCAGATACTTTCCTTGTTGTTTCCTTCAAGATTGTCCACCTGTGAGAGACCCAGAGTGAAAGATGTAAAACCTCATTGTGAAAGATGCAAGACTGCACTCACTAAAGCCTTTAGGGAACAGACACAAGTGCCCATCAAAACCTTCAACCAAGCAGGAATGAACAAGATGTTTTAAAGTAATATTTCACTTAGCCTTAACAGGTCCTGCAGGCATGTCAGAAACACCTCCACATCAGAGACTGGTTAGAGATCAAGTAAATTTGGCAGGAATACTTAACTGTTTTAAATGATAAGTAATTATAATGGAGAAAAGAAAAAGCAAAATCACAAAACTACAAAGACTAATAGGGGCATTTTTACATGAATGTGACTTGCAGTTATTTCTTTCCAAGTATGTGATCTTAAGCAAATTCAGACCAAGTACTGTCTTTGTTCACTGCTTTAATAACTACAAGCCTTCCTTAAAGGAAAGATGCATTTACTTTTATCATGTTACCAACTTCATGTGAAACAGAACCTTTCACTCTAATACAGCCTTGTACTGAAGGTGCTTTGCAAAGTAAGAGCTCTGTAAAGACTTATTTTGCACTGACATATAAGCAAATGGAATGGGCAGCTGTGTTTGACAATAACTTTTATACAGAGTTTTGTCTAAAAGTCTGGAAGAGCTGTCCGGCTTTGCTGCATAGTCTTGTTCCTTTTTTTTTAATGTCAAAAGGTCAGTCTGACAGAACTAGGATGTGAGGAAAAGAAGCAGCTCTTAGATGTTTAAGTGGACCTGTAGCTTATCAGGCTTTTGCTAAGCAGTGGTAACTTGGATTATATATAAATGATTTCCATGTGATGGTACTCCTGTATTTGTGAGGTTCTGACATGGGAATGCTGTTATTAGTATGAATTAATGTATAAAATGCTGTTAAGTTGATTAAAAATTTATGTCTTGCAGAACAGCTTCTTCAGTGTTTTCAACTATTATTGACACAATGACTGCAGTTCCCAAATGCAAGTATTCTTGTACATCGGCTCAGATAAATGTTATTTAGCTGTTGTTTAAATTTTTTAAACTAAATTTTAGTTTAAAATTGCAGACATCATGAAAGATAATGCTTGTTTTTAAACGACTGAAAAGGCAGGAGAGGCCTGAAAGGAGTTATTCTCAGACTTAATTTGAAGTGGCTTGCTGACTAGGGGAGTACATTTAATTTCAGAGTAATATCTTTGTTCTCCTTGCAGGTTTTGGAACAACGTGCCCATGATAAATATTTCTCGCCTCCCTCTTTCAAATAGAGATCCAAGGCACAGCATGAACAAATGCAAATTTTGTATTTGGAGAAGCATGATAAGTATTTCAAAATTTATCCCAAATGTAACCAAATATATTCCTTGTTGGAAAGAGAGCCTATAATTAACCTACTGAAGCTTTTTACCATGGGTGATCATGGCTGTTTTAATTTCTTTTATGAGCATGTCACTGGAACTATGTGGCATTTTAAACTATGGATAAAACCCATGGTTTGTGTTTTACTTTGAGAAGATATATTTTTTGCCAAATTTAATAGAGTGCCTTCTCAGAGGTGCATCTTTGTAGGGAATACAGATTCTTTTATGAAAAACCTGGGATTTACATTCTTTCATCTATCTTAGCATGTCTGTCACCAGCTGTGACTTCAGAGCACCTTATTTTCCTTTTCTAGTGCTCCACTTCTTTGGACTTTATTAGGATGGTTTCTCATGGCTCGTGATTCGGTTACATTCGCACTGATGCTTAAAGGTGATTAAGCTATTCCCTTCCAAAACACGCAGCCAATAGATGATAGCTGCTGATACTGCAACTTTACCCAGCACTCATTCCATGCAAAAACAGTTCTACTGGGAAAAAATGGCCATGTTCTTTTAGAGAAGGTGAACAACAAGTTTGTACTGTTAGGGCCCTCTTTGTTCTCTTCTGGACTTAGAAACCATGAATTCCATTCTTTATGGAAAAACTGTTGGAATAGAGAAGGGTTGGAGTGTGCTAATCACTTTGTTGTAGATCCAGGCTTGGTTCTGAGGATAGTCTTTTGGGAAAGAAAAGCACCTGAGAAATGCCTTGCATCCAGTTTTTGTACTTGGGATATATATGGAAAGACCATAGCTCATAGAGTCATATGTCAATCAGTCAAGTGGATTTCTGAGGCACAGCTGGCAAACATGTGCCATCTTATTAGAAACAATTTGAGATGTTGAGCTTCAGGTGAGCATCTCTTCTCCAATGCAGAGAAAAATTTAAACCCTGAAGCTATTGCAATGTCATGCTCCATTTTTTTGGGTAACTGACTTGCTCTTTTCTGTTTGCTTGTGGGAATGATACAGATTGCAGGAAAGTTGGATTGTCTACACAGTTTCACACAGCATACATGTGCTGGAGGAAGATCCCTCCAATTTTGGGAGAAGTGGCATCCTATTCACTATCTTTTTCTATTCAATTATGTAGATACTATGCTCACTGTTTATCTTCCATATATTTCTATAGTGCTGCAAGATACATATTATCTGAAGTTTACACTTACCAGTAGTCAATTATTTCTCTGCTCTGAAGAATGAAGGGTGTCCCCATCTGTGCTTTATCAGAGTAAATGAGTGCTCTTTTCATGCCCTAATTAGTGCATTTGAAATAACGTGTAGTACTTCTTTTCCATAGAGAAATGTAATCTAAGTCACAATCCTGCTGAAAGTGAATGTTTCTCTACAGCCTGGCATCTTTATCTAACCATTCAGAGTCTAATTACATGAACTATTATCTATCAGGTAATAGAATATCATAAAGCCAGAATGAGGGTTCCTGGATATTCAGTTATGATTTAACTCACAGGTTGTGACTTGCAAAATACTAACTGGGCTCAGGTTCCTGGTCGCTGATGCTGCTGTGGACCTGGGCTCATGGGTGCTCTGATTCCACTGAAGATAGCAGGGGACATATCACACTTCATGTCATGTTGCAGTTTCAGGGGAGTTTTTGTTACAGGCATTCCAATGATATTCAGAGCACGTATCTAATTTCAAACAAGCTCTGCTAGTCTGGTGCCATTAGACATATTGTTTGCACAGTTGGTAGAATTTTGAGGAGTGTTGAAAGTAACAAGTGGATTCACTTTGGTCTTTAAATTGCCAGGGAAACACAACCATGCAGTCACTTCTTCCTATGACATTGCCATCCTCAGCCAGCTTTGTTGAAAGTATGTAACTTCAACATGTACAGTATTGATGACTTAAGTTATTCTCTATCAAATTTATAGTTAATAAGAGAACACTGTGTTTTACAGCAACTGAAACAATTCAATGTATATTGAATTGTGATCAGTGAAATCAAATGGAGTTTTCTGTCTACATGAGGAGTAACAGCACCTTCAGCAAGGCAGGAGGTTTGGATGTGGGACCTGAAATATTCCTGGAGAAAGGGAAGATGAAACACTGAGGAGGTCATGGGGAAGGAGCAACAGTGTTCAGTGAGAATTTGAGAAGTGTGTGCCCCATCTTTGCAACTAGAGGAGTCTGACTGTTGTTCTTACACTGAGTACAAAGACTTGGGGAAGCAGCTCTAGGCAGCTGTTTGGGAATGCTCCATCAAGCAAGGCAACTGACCAAACATATTCAGGAGGGAGTTTAACTTCTGAATCATCAATGAGTGACTGAGAAAAATTGTTAACTCCTTTTACTGACAGGGACTATAAACCAGATTTCTGTCTTCTTTTTGTTGTATTTGTTTAAGTTTTTAATCTTTTTGCCAGTAGCCGAATTCTTTGCAGTATGCTGAATGCATATCAGAGTTTTATTCCAGCCCCTCTCAGGATTTGAGTAAATAAATGGTCGAGGAACTAGTCTCATTGATACTGTTCCCAGAGAAAGTCTCTTTCTCCTGCTGTGTTTCCTTCATCTGTTATAGAGGAGATTGTGAAGAAATTTTTAACCAACTGTGTCTTTTGTTTGCATTTAGCTTTTTTCTAATTTTATAATTTCCTTGTCATGGGAATTGCATTAACTCTGTATGTTACAGGTCTCAAGAGGAAGCATCATCTTCCAGTGTGAGAAGAGCACTGTGGAACCAGTGGAAATTCTGATGTTCTGTTTATGATGCTGTTCCTGCACTTGCAAGGCACAGTCTTTCTTTAAAAGAGGTACCATTTTCAAAGTCTTAAATCTAACTAACTGAAAATTTCACTGGCATGGTTGCACAAAGGATTTAAGAACTGGTCATCTGCAAAGCAACCTAAATATATGTGTGTTTTTAAACAAGTTCACTCCTCTCTATAAATGCCAAAAATTAAATTATTTTTTCAGTTCTATAGGAAACTCAGCTGCTTTTATAGATTATTCTTATTTTTGCTCATTTTTTATTTATTTCTTATTTCTTATTATTTATTTCTTATTTCTTATGTCTTATTTCTTATTTCCTATCTTTTCTTTGGCCACCAAGATGTCTGACAAATCATACTGCATTCTTTAGAAAAGACTTGTTTAGGGGATAAAAATGCAAAACCAGCCTGTAGGATTTTCTTTATTTTCAGCATTCTTTGAGGCTGACTCATGGTTTAGCTTTTTGTTTATCCTCAATGAATGACATCCACACAGAGCAATCCCTCTAAGCAATATTGTTCCACTCACTTTGAATAATCTGACCTGCACAAGGTCATTATAAAAAGCTTCACATAGAGCAAGAATTTTCTGTCCTGAAAACCTCTCATCAGTCAAGAAGCCAGAAAGAATGTGAACAACTTCTGTTTTGAAGTGTCAAGGGAATAGGTTTGAGTAAGAAAATACTTTAAAATGCACAGTCTTGCTCCAGCTGACCTGTGATACAGCTTGCTGTCCACAGCCTTGTGTTCCATAACAATATTAGGATATGCTAGGGCTTCTGTGGCCTAACCTCCTATTGTAAATCACAGAATCATTTAGGTTGAAAAAGACCTCTGAGATCATCAAGTCTCAGTTGTTAATGCAGCACTGCCAAGCCCACTACTACCTGTGTCCCTAAGTTCTACATCTACAAGTTTTAAACACCTCTAGGGCTGGTGACTCATTCACTTCCCTGGGAGCCTGTTCCAGTGCTTGACAACCCTTTTGGTAAAGAAATTTTTCATAATGTATTGCACCGAAACCCTCGGTCATCTGAACTGCTATAAACACTGGGTATTTATATATAGAGAAGGATACAGTGGCATCTCTCTTATGACAGAGGAGGTCTGCTTCATTGCACAGAATAATAAGCATTACTGTGGATGCTTTTATGAACAAATCAGATGAAAATCCAATGTTGAAACCACATTCCTGTGAGTCACTAATAAATAAAGGTCACCTGCTTGAATGTATGGGTGTTGCATATGTTTCAGTTCAGTTCTATAAACCTTCTCTTATTTCCCTGCAAAAGGCTAATTGCCAGCTCTTATGCATTTCTCTTTGCCTATATCAGTTGTGATATTAGTGATATATGTGTTGTGCCTTTTCAAACTGAGACTTCTGCCTATATATCAACTCTTAGTAAAAGGAAGATGTAGTTGCTGAAAGGATTCTTTTGGCATAGTGGCTATTTAAAATAATTACCATTTAGTGAGGAAGCAAGCATTAAAAGTAAGTCAAACCTTGATCACAGTTAAAATCTTCTTTAATGAACTTAGAAATTGACAATATTTATATGGATCCCTTTAAAAATCACCTATGTTGTTTCTAGGTATTTTATGTAAAGGGCCTGGATCAACTGCTGCTCCAGCTGCTGTATATCCAGTGTTGTCAAAACCAGAGCTGATTTCTAAAACAATTTCTGAAACAAGTAGCAGGTGGAAAAACTGTTTTCCTCCATAAATGTATAACTTCCCACCTGCAATATAAGAGTATATTATAAAACATCAGGTCAGATTTAAGGATACAGTATTTGCTAATTGAAAGAGATGGTATTGATTAATGAAGTCCACCTGATATATAAATAAATCTTTGTTTATTTATTTATTGTTTAAAATATACTTTATTTTTATTTGCTTTATTTTTATTACCTTTTAAATCCCCTTCAATGAAAACTTAAAGTACAAACACCAGGGTATGCCACTTCCAAGTTTCCAGTATCTGTTTGCTTGCATAAGTTCACTAAATATTTTATGAAAAATAGTATTTGGAACTGTGATTATATATTAATTTAAGGAACAATTGAAGATCAAACTTGTCATTGATTGACCTAAAATTGATGTTACACATTTATATTGCATTTTGGGATTTTAATGATGTGCTTGCCTGGCTTTTTTTTCTTTAGTTGATGTGTCCATGAAGGAAGACACTTCTAGCCAATGAACAGTTTTTTTTATGATGATAATGAATTAGTTGATTTTTGAAGGAAAGAATAGAGTCTGTGGAAGAGTAAAAACACTTTTTTATAGGCTAAATGATCTACAGGTTAGAATGTCAAAGCTGAAATATTTGAAAGTACATTTTTCCTTCTCCTTAAATATATCATCAAAATGTTCTTAGTCTTTTATTCCTTATGCTTTCTATTGGTGGCATTTAATGAAGTAATTCTGATGTTTCTGAGGAATGTAAGATTATGGATTATTTCATATATATTGATCTTAGAAGAATAAATTGAAAGAAATGAGACAATTTTGTGGAATATCTTGACAATAGTTTTTCCAAATAATTTAAGATGAGCTGTAGGTTTAGTCCTCATAGATTCCATATTAGGGTAAGTAAATGTTCTTAATAGAAAATCTTTGTGTCTGCTTCTCAGAAGCCTTTGTATTTGTTGGGAAATTTTTAGACTGGTGATAATATGTTAACTAAAAAGGATGACTGTTTTATGTTGTAAAGGGGGAAAATTATTTAAAAAATCAAACAGACAAATTTGGCTTGCAAATCACATACTGGATCCAACTTACTCATGAATAATCACTGTTTCCTATTGTTTGTGTATTTTTTATCTGCCTCTTAGTTTTCAGTCAATGGATTATAATTTATGTCAATGTTAATGTCTTCCTCTCTTCTAACATACTATTTTAGGGGAAGACAATAAAAGAATATAGTATATTTTATGTCACATTATTCACTAAATTGTGAACAGAGGGAAAGTATTTTTTATTTAATATTGACCCTTCTTGAAACATACCACTCCATTTTTTCTTAAAATGATTTTTATGTATACAAACTTTAAATGTCTGAATTCTTATCTTAGTTCTCCCATTGAATACAAGCAATTGCTTTTAATATTTTTTTTTCATATTTATGGTACTTACCAGGGCATATGCTCATCCATTTTGAATGTTAATTGATGGCAGGGTTCAATTTTTCTGTCATCACATGGGATTTGTCAAGGACAGACAGTAAAAACTAAGAGCTGGGAGACTGCAAAACATATATCTTAGCTGAGAAAACATTGTCTTCCATCACAGCAGGCTTTCAAGTGTATTAGAAAAAAACTATTATTAGGAAACTCCCTTCAATATTTTTAGTAGTTTGAAACAGTGACACTTCTGCTACAAGTGTATATGGTACAATGTTGCTGAGTGTACTAGCACTGAAGCCAACCTTCCCACCCTATTTCGATCAATTATGTGTGCACATAATTTATCACTCAAAATCTGCATATATTGCTTTCCCATGCAAAGTACAGGTTCTTGCACAATGTTTCCAAGTTCAATGTATCATGTATTGTAGTGTTGTATTTTGAATGTCTGTAGTAGCTGTTACCTGATATATATACAATGTATGTGGGACTGACAGCAGTTTTTGACTATTATTTCTTAAGGGAATTTGAGAAGCTATGTAGTCTTGAATGGCCTATTCTAGTCTTTTCCCTCCTGTGAGCAGTTCTATAATGCACCACCCTGCCATGGCCCAGGACACATTCCAGCCCCCTGGGACTATTGTTTCCATCCCAGTGACACTGGAGCAGCACTGGTCTCCAGCTCCCCACAGCCTTGCCCTCCTGAGCAGGGCCCACCCGTGGCTCTGCATTCCCAGAGAGCTGCCTGATGCCCAGGGCTGGGGCTGTTCCTGCTGCCCAGCTCCTGGCTAGGGTGGAACATGCACTGGCTGACAGGCCCTGCCCAGACGGTTCTCCTAGGGAGATCTCACCACCCCAAGTGTCTGACCCTGTGGGACCCACCAGCCTTTGTGGTACTTGGGTAATGGAAATGTTTATTAAAACCATATTAATTAAAAAAAACTTTAAAAACCCAAACCAAAACATAAAAAAATCCTTAACTGAAACATTTCCCAAAAGACCTTTTCTTCCAAGCCAAACCTCACATTCATAAGACTTTTGTCTTCTGTGGCAATATGTATTAAATTCAATAGCACAATATGAGTTGTGAGTCAGCCACCATACTCTGAATCATCAAATTCTGCTGTATTATTTCCAGATGTTAAAACCTACATCTTGTTTGAGTAGGAAGAGTAATGTAAGTTTAAGGAATCCTTATGACTCAGTGGTGTGTGTAGGAAGCACTGTGGTGTTGTGTAATGGGACGAACAGCCTGGAATTGATCCTGCCAGTTTTTCCAGGGGAAAACCGCCAGAGACTTGAGTTGTTAAATCAATGTTGCGTTTTAATGAAATTTTTGGCACATCTAATGCTAAAAGTCCCCTGAAGGGAAAATATTGTAAATCCAGCTGGTAGTGCTAGAAGTTAGGTTCGTAGGTTGGGAAGGAGGTTGTTGCTTGTAGTGTTTGTTGGGAACTGGGGAGAGGTGCTGCTTCCTGTCCTGTGGGATTGGCCCTAGGGAAGTAGGGCTGGGAGCTGCCACCTGGTTCCTCACTGTGAGGAGGTGTTTGCTGTGACTGCTGGCGCTGAGCCCTGGACGTGAACAGGGGTGCAAGAGTACTTGATGGAACCATTGCATGAACACTTGTGTCATAAGTGTAGTAAGTGAAATGGACCATGAGCAGACATAAAGGGGAATATACAGGCCATGTGGCTTGTGAGATATATGTGTGTTTCAATATGGGCCAATACGTCATGAACTTCATGACAGTGTACATAAGTGAGAAAGGAAGCAGTTGACAAAATGTTTATACTGAAAATAAAATTTTACTTCAAAGTCTGCTTGTAGGCATCAGTCAGTTAGGCAAAACATGCTTTTTTATTGCTCTATGAGTTTCAGAAACTCTGTTTCAAAGATGCTTTCAGGGTACTTGC